TAGGATGCATTTATAACAGCATAAACCAAACTGGCATTTTAATGTCTTAAGCCAGCCCAATTGCTATACTTACCCATTGATCTTGGCTGGAAAAGTTCTGTGCCTGATACAGACACATTTTGGAGATAAAGTCATATAATGAGAAAGTGATAGGATTTGTTTTGATTAAAAGTATCCTCTTGTTAACTGTTATTTCATAACAAGATTGGAGGCTGGTTGTTGTGTGACCTTACAAAACTTGCTCAGAAATGTTGTGTCCACCTTTATAGCAGGTGACTTTCTGGTGAATTTTACCTTGACATTTTGCCTGCTAGTTTGCAGGTCACATAAAAGGATGTTATTCAACAGACATGAGAAAGGGTTTTAGTTTAGTGTTTGTTCCGTGAGATGGTTTGAGAGAAGAAAAGAACACAGTTCAAGAGTGTTTGTGCATTTAGTGTATTCCTTTGGAAGGCGTGTAAAAAGATGTTTGGTAGTGGCACTGACTCAGAAGTACATGCTTAAAATTTCAATTGACTGTATAGGTGTTTTTAATTACCATGCTTGAAATGAAATTTAATATAAAATTTTTCCAACTGGAGCTGAACATAGAAACCATATGCTTTAAAAAAAAATCAAGAAAGAAGGCAGAGATTGTCCTGTTTTCATAGGTTTGCTAGTAAGCATGTGTTGGGTGATTTTTTTAAAAACACTTTTAAATAGCAAAAGAATTGGCAACATGTAATCTCACTTGTCGCTCTGGTTTGCTGTGTGTCTTTGGAAATGAGTACTAAGCTGGTGTGGAGCACTGCAGGTTGTCCAATGCTTTGTGCCCTGTATAGCCTTTAGCAATAAATATGTACCAAGCAATTGTAAAATGTTCCCATCAGGGCGTGCCGGCTTGCTGTCCTTACTGAGTTTTAACTCTCTCTGTGCAGATAGGAAAGTATACAGGGTAGGGGAAACCTACCCACTGTCTGTATCTTCTTTTCAATTATTGTAACTAGTGCATTATTTGGTTGCTATTGTACATCAGCGTAGGGATGTCAGCCTGTTAATATTCAGTGAAGTCTTATGTAAGTGGAAGTGTTTCATATCTTCTCTTTTCAATGCAGTTTTACTGAAAGCCCTTTTGAATTTGAATGAACCATTCTGGAATGCGATTCTTAAAAGAGAAGTCTCTAAAAATTGAGCAAGTAAAATTTTCCCATCACTGTTGAGCTAGTGATATTGATAATGGTATGATTAATTTAAATGCCAACATTCATGGTACAGGTGTGCTTTTTTATAACTAACAGTCTGTCCATGTTTGTTTGAACCTGTTAAGAAAAATTGAAACCTGGTGAGGTAGAATAAAGGCTGATTTATTGATGGACGTTATTACCTTACCTGGATTTAAGGGAAGGGAAATTGACTTTGTAGAGAAAAAGAGAACACTGAGGATAATTAGTCATGACTCAAGAAAATGTGTTAACTGATGTTTTACATTGAAAAAATAGTAATAACACAGGTAAAGGATGAGGGTTGGAATTGGTGTCTTTGAGATGAGGTTCAGAATGCAATCTGCAAAATACTGAACTACTGAGCAGTATTTCTATCGTGGCATCATTTATTTAGAACTTCTTTCTCTGTCTGTAAACAATAAGAGTACTGCAAATGCCTAACCTACTATTCATAGATTAGTCCCTCTCTCTTCTGAACTAAAATGTTCAGAAACGGTGAAGCTTATATCTATGCTATCTATAAAGCTATGTGTTCATAATGGAAAAAAAATAGATAATGAATCTTGCTACAGATTCATTCTAATGTAGATAAACTTGAAACATTGGATAGAAATAAGAGGTCCCATGAAAAACAGGGTGATGCTTTACCCTTCATATCAACTTATTTTTTGTGGAAAAAGAACATCTAAATCAAATGTTCCCCTTTCCGACCAAAAGATAGCTTGTATACAAGACGGGCTTGCTGAAATTATGTCTCAGCTGGAAGGAAAGATGAGTTTATTTTATGTAGCAGTTGGAGGTTCTTAGAAATATCAGTCAGTCAGTTACCAGAGTGGTAAATTAAATCTTGAGAGCCAGAGCTCGCTCATCAGTACGCAATGATATGGAAGTGGCAAGGAGAGAGACAACTGCATCAGGTCTGGGTGTTTATATTCTTGATGGAAAAGTACAAATCATTTCCTTCCCTTCTGCTGCTGTCATGGTCCATCACTTTAGTCCATTTTCACCTTGCTAAGGGATTCTGAATGGGTCTTCCTTCTTTGGCACCTAATTAATCTCTCACAAGCCTGTTCTTGCAGCCTGCCTGCCAGGGATGGTCCATATCTATTGTCGGTGACTCACAAACAAAATATTCCTTTTTACTTTACTTCCTTTTCCTGTGTTCTTTCACCCCAAGCCTCCTCAAGCAGGTTGAAGATGTTTTTCTCCCCGTGACTTTGAAAAGGATGTCCATCCATCCTGTTATTACAGGAAAAAATCCCCTTTTCTTCTAGTGGAGCACTCTCACTGTGTTATGTAAAGTTGTCTATGTTTTCTAAACTAAGTGTCCACAAAAATACCCAGCTAGATTGTGCTTGTTAGAAACTCTTCAGCAACTCAAGGTCCTTGCAGTGTAACAGGCAAGCAGAAAATCATTGGTCACTTTTTTAAAATGGCATACCTCTACACAAATAAAAGTGCATGATCTGAGATGAAAAAGGCATATCTGTAATATAAAACATTACCGTGAGACTGTGAAACAAAAAATTATTTTATTGAAGTTATTTTATTGTCGTATATCAAGTGATCATGAATATCAGATATCTTGTGCACCGAGCTCTAACAGCCACAATACTTTATGACTAGTTTAAAATGAGTCCTTGAGATAAAATAACACACGTAGTCTATATAACAGATAATACTGAATAGTTTATTATCTATAATAGAAAAACATAGATTCTGTAAAATGATACCAGTGGAATCTAATATTCCTTTGAAATATATTTCCTGGATAATATTTCTACTCAGAAACAGCTTATCTCCCTTCTACTATCCCTTCTGTGGGGACAGAATTGGTGTTCAGCTCAGTGCAGCATATGTATTTGAGTCTGGGAAGTGGAAAGGCATTAAAAAAGGTCTGAGAAGTCACTTTGTTAGATTGGTGATCAGGGTAGTGTCCATCAAGACCCCTTAGCTCTACTGGTCTATATCTGATCCTGCAGATACTGATCTTCTGTGCTGTTGTTACAAAACCTGCAAGAGCTCTGAGAGTCTTCTGGTGACATACAGGCAGGAAGGGGAGAAAAAAAAAAAAGGCTAAAAAAAAATCACATCTTTAATTCCCTCTGCTGACAGCCTCCTTAATAAATATTGTAAGAAATTTCTCCATTAAGAACCACCCAGTAATCTAATTTGCAAGCCCCAATGATATATTCAGCAGCCCGCTCAGGGAAGGTGTGTTTCTACTGTCAGAATCACATGAGCAGGGAATAAAATTCTGAGCTCTCACTGAGAGCTGTAATAATTTATGATGAGTTGTTGGCTTTTATTTTTTCATACTATTTTTGAGTCAGCTGAATGAAGAGGATAGAACTGCTAGTGACTCTACATTGATTGAGCTTTTCTATAGTATGCTCACCCATCTCTGTGTTTTCATAGGGTATAACAATACAGACACTGTAAATTCGCAGAGTTTCTAAAGAAACTAAAGAAATCATAGACTGAAACCCCTATCACCATGGATGAGTCATGTATACAGCCATAATGGGTGGTGAATGCCGGCTCATTTCAGTTGTCTCCCATCTTGACATGCTTGTTTAGCAGTTCAGCCTTTGCTGTTCTGTTCAGTTTGAATAATCCTAGATTTGTTTGTTACCTTCTGTGTGGTCCTGGAGAGTCATCCTTGGGCTCTTCCTTCACTTCTCCTGGACTCCACTTTAAGGAACGTTTTTCTCTGGTGTGCTCACAGAAAACAAAACAGAAGCCAAAAAGCTTTTATTAGATCACACTAGATAGCAAACTTCAGGCTGTTTTGTGAGAGAACTGATTCTCTACAGCAGTGTCACAGTGGTTGTGTGGAAAAGCTTCCCATTTTATGTTCCATCTCTATCGGGTTCATACCCTGAACTAAGAGGATCAATAGTGCTGTCTCAGAAATCAACTCGTTAACAGGTAAGAAAACAAAGCAAAAAGATAAGAAAACAAACCAAAAACCTCTAGGGTATTACTTCATAGCTGATCAGCTGGCAGGCGGGATAGATGGAAGTCTTCAGCCTTGAAAGAACTTCTAGAACCATGTCACAGAGTAATTCCATCTGAGCTGTGGTCAGTTTATGGTAAAGACCTTGTTTCTTGGGGTTCATCTCTGTTTCTCACATCTGCTTTAAGATCTTACACCTTATAATGGCTACTGGTGGGGCTCATCCATAGTAAGAGACCTCTTCTTCAGGGAAAAGGCCTCTTGGGTATCCACAGTGGCAAGACTTTACCCTCAGTGAAGAACTACCAGATGTCACTTAATTTCTGTAAGTCTGCAGACCTTGAGAAGAAAGTCAGGCTGCCAGCACTCTCTGGCTTTCTTCAAGGTGCATGTTGGCATGGTGCTGTAGATTTCTTAGGCCCTTTTTAAGCAAGAAGGAATAAGATATCTTTAAAAAGGAAATGCTGCTGTCCCTATCCCACCTTTTCATCTATGTTCCTTTTAAATTCTACATCAAGGTTTTTGAGGATGCACCCAGGAATGTAAAGTGATGCTTTCATTGTTGTACCTTACAATTCAATCTTTTAAAACCTGCTTCTCCATTTCTTTTTACCTTCCCATTATAGTCTTCGTTACTGGGAAGCAAACACTAACTGATTTGGGTTTTTTTTATTTTCTCTGTGGTATAGTGTTTGGTGATGAATAGCTGTTAATGTTCATTTTTTCTAAAGAGTAGCTAGGAAAGATACATGAAATGCGCTACTAATTTACCTAAACTTGTCTCTTGTTCTTATTATCCTGAATGACAAATGCTGTATTTCTGTTATTTTATTTTGCAGCGAGAGATGCAGATATACAATGTATGGTCATAAAGATTCAGTCAATAGCATTGAGTTTCTTCCTTTCTCCAACACTGCTCTCACTAGCTTTGCTGACAAGACTTTAATCTCTCTGGGATGCCAGAATGGTAAGCAGTCTTTTTCTCGGTCTTTCTTGAATTCAAGCAAAGTGATGGCATGTATAGTGTGGGAAAAATGAAAGACAGTGTAAAATCAAAATAGAAAGTAAAGGTGATGTGGCATTAGAATATTCACTAACACAGATACTATCTTCTGACCAAAAATATCACCATATAACGTTTCCTTGACATCTGAAATGAATGAGTCCTCACATGAGCACCGAGATCACTGTATAAATAGGGCTTAATTAGGTGATGGTGGTTTTAACAACTAATGGTCTGGGTCTGGAAGACTGCACACTGTGTTGTATCAGTTCAGTCGACAGAGCAGCTGAAGGTCCGTTTTGTCAGGCTTCTGTTGTAAGCACTGGCACGTGCTTTAAGTTACATACAAAGGAAACGGGAAAATGCCACTGGAGGAACATAGAAGTGTAATATATTTATTCCTCCTCTAGAAGGCATTCCACCCACCCCCAGATCTCACTGCTGGTTTCTCATGGAATATGCATTGTTTTCTCCAAAATATATCACTGTAGGTAATGTCAGAAACTCTGCATCTCTTCCTTTATTCTCCTCTGCCTTCATTCTGTGGTATAGTTATAAATGGATTGAGTACATTGGAGAATGTATTTGTCCCTGCTGCTTTGCAGACCAAGTACGAAAGCCACGTTCAAGTAGAATACAAGAACAAGGCAAAAGGAATGCTTTCTTTCATCAGAAAATTCAATAATTATTTCTGCTGTCATGGTATTAGTCATAGAGCAACTCTTGAAATTCTCAAGTTGCTACTTCAGTTGGCATTATGGTCAATTTGCATTTCTCAAACAGTGAAAAGAGACAAGATTCCAGCCCAGAACAGAGAAGGTTGTATTCATGGAAGGGATTTGAGAGGAAGGAGGCAAAGAGCTATTGCAGTGTATTAATAGGTATTGTCATCAGAGCTATACAAACACAGGATAAGAAAAACTGACGTGAAAATGACAGTGGAATATTTGAGATGCTCATTAGGCAATTTCTATTTATGGATCATAGAAACAGACTGAATAGAAGGTCATTTAATAATAATCCTGGGCATAGAGCACAAGAAGTTAAAATTAAGCCAGTCAAGACTCATTATTCTTAAATGTATTGGTTTATAAGAAGATTTGATATCCAAATATTAATAATTCAAAAAGAGAAAAAAATATTGAAATACCAAAAAAAGTTAAAAACTCAGTTGAAAAAAATAGATTTCTGCTTTGTTTTGTTTTCAATAAATCCTCCAAGGAACTTTGTCTTGCAAATGGCTCGGTAATCTGTTCATAGAAAATTAACAGAATTATAAAAGAATTTTCTTTTATAAACTTATGGAAAAAGCTGCTCAGTTTTCATTCACCAACACTGTTTTTCAGCTTTGAGTAATTTTTCCAAGCTAGGGAAGACCATTTGTGAAAAGAAAACGTTGTATATGGCATTTTGTTGTGTATTTATTCTGTTGAATTTTTTCCCTATTCAGTGGAAAATCTTGCAGATTTCAGATATGTGCCCACATTGAAGAATCACTTTAAGTGGTGAAATCACTGTGAAGATGTTATCTCCCTCTAAATATTGAATGATATAAATGTTCCCTCCAGAAAGAAGATGAATGATTTTCTCCCATTAATTTGGAACAGAATTATTTTCTCACCTCTGTGATCAATTAGCATTAAGGAGCACATTTAAGATAATTCTAATGAAACATGAAAATCATACTCCAGTTTGTTTTCTCATATATTAGATTGATATTACTAATCACATCTTGCTCTTCAATCATTAACTTTAGTCAGCCTTTTATTATTAAAGATAATGGATGCAGAGAACTCTAAGTTAAAGCAGTGTAAGTTCAGACTGGACAATGAGCTCTGGTATTTGGGGCAGAATGGAACATACATCTTTGTAATTACTAAGCTGGAGGTATAGTGCAGCCTTCAGACTTTGGAAACACATGGTATTTTTTTTTTTTTTTTTTTTCTGGATAACATAGGGTCAGATCTAGTGGTTCAAAAAAATCTACAGCACATTGTAATTTTAAACACAAGATATATGTTGCTTATAGGAAAATAAGAACACAGCAGGATGAGGAGTATTTAGATGATTATGGCTCTTTCCAAACACTCTGGGAGAAAATATGGTGTTGGGTTTGGATAGGAACCATCCTCCTACCGTGCCAGACTCCTAGTAGATTAGATGTATGAGACTGAGGCTGCAATTCACTGGTAGGAATTTCTTGCCAGTAAAGCTCATGGCTCTTGTGCCAAGATAAACTGCGGAATTTATTTCTCTTTATGCCAGTTTCATAGAAAGACAAGCATATTCTGGCTTTTCACCAGAATATTTTCCTGCTGACACATCAGAGTGAGCGTCTCTACTCATGAATTGCAAAGTGTGTCCAATGATAAATATGAGAGGTGTAAAAGAACATGAGACCCCAAGAGTACAAGTTCACCTGCCTGGGTTAATCCTTCTCATGATAAGCTGTCTGCCACTCATCCGCATCTCCCACATTCCAATGAGTAATTTCTTGGGGCTAGTCAGATTTGTCTGGATAACATTTGAGCCAAGCGGAATCTTTGCTCTTTCTCAGACAGATAAAATGCCAAATATTTATACACTTAAATAATTAAATAGAGGGGAAAAAAGTCCTCACATTTTTTTTATTCTACATGTTTGAAACTTACTGATTTAGTAACTCTCATCTGCTTTCTGATTTTTGAAATGTCAAATTCTATAACTGGATATTTCATTTTTGAAAAAGTTGTGCAGTGACTGACACTTAGAAGTCAGCACTCAGTAGTAATGCCCTAAGAAATGTGTCTAACGAGGATTTGGGAATTCTTGTGTGTGCACTTAACTGCACAGGCCCATTCACATCAGTGATGCTATCCATGTGAATAAAGTTCAGCACATGCACAGCTCTGTAAAAAGTTAGATTCATACAATGCTCTATTCTTCTATTTTATTTTGTGAAATAATAAGCATTTGAGATATTGTTTGATAATTGTTGTTCATTTTGGTCTCTACTGCTCACTGATATTTAAGTGCTTGTAGTTTTATTTTTTTTTAATTATCCAGGATGTATTTATGGCTTTATGCAGCCCAGTGATTTATGATGAGCCCTATTTTTCTGCATTCCTTTTGCAGAAGACTGCTAGCATATAACACAAATTAAAGGATCCAATTCCCACTCCCCTACCAACCCAATATCCCTGACATCTACACAGGATGTCAGCTTTTTACTATTTGGGTCAAAGATGACTTAAATAAGGGTAAGACAGTCAGCAGAACAGGGACCAGACGCAAGTTCTAACTCTGTGAATCAGATTGTATCCTTGACAGTAATTTGTGGGCTGAACAGCACAATCAAAAGTCAGAAGCTCCAAGGTAATGTGGTCTTTGATGAATAATGCAGACACCAATCTCAGAGGAAAAAGGAAAAAAAAAAACAGAATGAGATTGTCCAAAATCCTGCCTTAACAGCAGCAAGTAGCTCCCAGTAATGGTAACTCATTCTCATTGAGCCGGAACCTGGCTGTGGCCATCATACTCCTCAAAGACTGCTGTAAAGCTTCCCCCTGCCCGAGAGTGAGGGAGGGGACTGTGAATCCAGGCAGAGCCTCCTTTCAGGCTCATGCAGGGGTCTCTCTTATGGGTGTGAACTAATTGGTTCTCTCTTAGCCCCTGGAAATGATTCATGAGTGTGGTACAGCCACACTTTATATAGCAGAGCAGGCTGGACTTTTAGGGCCACATTACACTCCGAGAAGGACATTAGGAAGAAGTAGCCAGTGAAAACAGTGAGAGGCAGCTGAGTGTTCCTTTAGGGCAGGGTTTTTTTCTTTAAATGTGGCACCGGATAAAAAAGGGTCTTTTTAAAAGTGATATTTCCTAATAAATTGAGGCTTCTGTACTCATGATGTCTGCTTATCATTTCCTGCTAACAGCTATTGAATGTTAGCCAAGGTCTGACAAAGTTTAAGTTTCCATGCAATTAGGTCTCTGGGCAACAGCAGGGAAGCCCAAATGAATGCCCTATGTGGTTGGAGAAGTGACAGTGGGTGCTCAGCCCTACCCTCAGGCACCACCTTTATGTGGTCCACAGCAACCCTGCCAGCCTTTTTCTACAGAGAAATTACAAGTGTTGGTGGTAAGATAGTGCCTGGGACGTTTCTTTCTTGGTTTTTCATGATCTACCTCACAGACATTTAGGTCCTGAAATGATCTGTCTCTGGGTTCAAAGAAATAGCAGAGTAAATCCCCAAGAGTTTGGGGTGACATAATTTGCATTTTTCCAGCCTTGGAAAAGGCAACTGATGTAAGGCATATGGATCATTTAAGATCGATGGGTATTTAAAATGCCTTTTCACATGGTGTCCTACTAGAGAACAAATACTTAGGTATACCAGTTTTTGAGCTGTCTGCTAAGGTTGCCAGCTGTGGTGCAGCATTTTAATGGTGAGGGCTTAGCTGTTTATGTGTTTCATATGGATGTAGAATAATTACAATGATGCTGATCTCAGCTGCACTCTTGCAATTCTTTCCTTCACAATACAGCCCATCTTTCCCCACTGTGTGATGTCTATGCCATGGGACAACCCTGCTGTGGTTCCTGCCTGTTGCAACTGGATTGTGCCTGAAAGCTGTTTACCTCTTACCTGTTTAAATTCAGTAGAATTGTTCCAAACCAGTAATTTTCTTAGATAACGTTTTTTCTTTCTGCTAATGAAATTACCTTTTAGACCACTTATTTTTCAGTGTTGATTTTGTTGGAATTTAGTAATTTTTGAGTTAGTAATTCCCTAAAATATCCTGTTCTGCTTTTGTTTCTTTGTGAAATATAAATTATCTTTTAGACTACTTGTTTTTCAACATGGATTTTGTCAGAACTCTTTTTCTGGTAGCTTTAAAGTATGTGGGAACACCCACATATTTGTAGGGATGCTGCCTACCTGTGGTGGGGGCTGTTATGCCTGTGTACATTTGGAGCGGATATT